AAAGAGTTTCATATGCAAAAACTTGTAAAGGCAGCACCTCAAACCAGTGAGGTAGAGATGGGCTTTCTAATAAGAGATGCTGGAAAGATATAATCAGATTCATATACTATTCTAGGATGAACTCTATACTGGTCAAGATTCAAATATAAAGATAAGCCATAACACTATCATCCAAAAGAACACAAATAACAAATGTTGGCGAGGATGTGGAGAAAAGGGAACCCTTATACACTGCTGGTGGGAATGTAAATTGGTGCAGCCACCGTGGAAAACAGTATGGAGGTTCCTCAAAAAACTAAAAATATAACTACCATATGACTAAGCAATTCCACTCCTGGGTATACATTTGAAAAAAATGAAAACGTTAATTTGAAAAGATACGTGCCCTCCAATCTTCATAGCAGCATTATTTACAATAGCCAAGATATGGAAGCAACCTAACTGTCCATCAACAGATGAATGGGTAAAGAAGATGTGGTGTACACACACACACACACACACACAATGGAATACTTCCCAGCCATAAAAAAGAATGGAAGTTTGCCATTTGCAACAACATGGATGGACTCAGAGGGCATTATGATAAGTGAAATAAGTCAGACAGAGAAAGACAGATACTGTATGATCTCACTTATATGTGGAATCTTAAAAATACAACAAACTAGCAAATACAACAAAAAAGAAGCAGACTCACAGATACAGAGAATATACTAATGGTTACTACGGGGAGTAGGGGTTTAAGAGGCACAAACTACTATGTATAAACTAAATAAGCTACCAGGATATATTGTACAGCACAGGGAATATAGTCAATATTTTATAATAGCTATAAATGGAGTACAACCTTTAAAAATTGTGCATCACTATGTTGTACACCTGAAATTTATATAGTATCATCTCAATAAAAAAAAATTTTTTTATTAAAGCCCTAACAGTAACAGAAGAAAAAAGAATTACAAGTAGCAGGTACACATGTGAAAAAATTCAACCTCTCTCACACTAAGAGAAATGTAAACTGAAACATTTGGATACCATTTCTTATCTATCAAAGTGACAAACACTGAACAGTTTGAAACATACTTTGCTGAGAAAATGGGCACAACTTCATACCCTGCTGGTTCGAGTGCAAAATAATATAAGCCCATTCGCATCCACCTTTTGACCCAGACATTTTTGTAGGAAATAATCCTTCCTGCATTCACATGAAATGTCATACGTACAAGGCTTTTCACTATCACACTGTAATAGCAAAAGCATAACACAACTGTTCCTCAATAAAGGACTGTGTAAATAAACCACAGTGCGTGTACACAATGGAATACCATGAAAAAGGAGCATCTTCTCCATACACTGACGTGGACAACATTTCAAGCTATGTCATTAACGAGATGTAAGCATTCCCAGGTTTATTACAGCATTATTTACAATAGCCAAGATATGGATACAAGCCAAATGCCCATCAATGGATGAATGGATAAAAAAGACGTGGTATACATACACAATAAAACATTATTCAGCCATGAGAAAGAAGAAAATCCTGCCATTTTCAACAACGTGGATGGACTTTGAGCATATTATGCTAAGTGAGGTAAGTGAGACAGAGAAAGACAAGTACTGTAATGGTATCACCTACATGTGAAATCTAAAGAAGTCAAAGCTGTTTAAAAAAAACGAGTAAAACAGTGGTTACGGGGGCGGGGGGGTGGCGGGGGGGGGGGGAAGGGGGGGGGAGGAACAGGCAGGATAAGACTGATGGTGTTTAAAGGTACAAACTTGTAACAAGTGGTGAATAAACCACAGGGTTCTAATGTATAGTATAATGAATACAGATAACAATATTGTACTATAATTATGTAATGTGATAAATATCACTACAATGGCAGTCATATTACAGTATATAAATGTATCAAAGTAACACAGTGTACACCTTAAACTTACATAATGTTACATGTCAAATTTATCCAATTAAAAAAAGATATGCCATTAAGCGAAAAAAACCAAGGTATGGAATGATATAAAGTAGTATGCTATCTTTTGTTTAAAAAGGGCGGAGGAGGGACTTCCCTGGTGGCGCAGTGGTTAAGAATGGGCCTGCCAATGCGGGGGACACAGGTTCGTTCCCTGGTCCAGGAAGATCCCACATGCTGCGGAGCAACTAAGCCCGTGCGCCGCAACTACTGAAACCCACGCCCCTAGAGCCCGTGCTCTGCAACAAGAAAAACCACCGCAATGACAAGCCTACACACCACAACGAAGAGTAGCCCCCGTTCACCGAAACTAGAGAAAGCCCACGCGCAGCAAAGATGACCCAAAGCAGCCAAAAAAAAAAAAAAAAGGGGGGGGGGGGAGAGAATGTGAATAGATACTAATACTTACTTGTATTTACAATAAGGAAATACTGGAAGGATAGAAAACAAACTAAAAAATATGGTTGCTTTAGAATGGAGTGGACAAAAATGGGTAGAAGCAAGACTTCGCAATGCATAACTTTATATATTAGCTTGACCTTACTTCCCTTAAAATGTATTACTTAGTCAAATGCATTAAATTACAAAATAAAACCCACTCATTTATGGATTAAAAAATTAAAATCACATATACACATACATAACTACTGTCTAGAAAAATAAACCATAAACAAAGCCCATTGAAGAATAAGGGACAAATTGAAAAAATATTTAAAATCAATGACAAGGGTTATTTCCTTAGCCCTTTATTTTCAACTGCAGAAGATAACAACCCAAAGAAAATGGGGAAACAATTTGCAGAGAAAGAAATACAAACACCTAAAAACACAATGAAAAGATGTTCATATATACTTATATAAGAAAGGTAAACAAAAACAACAGTGAAATACCATGTCCACCTATCAGACAAGCACGAGGAAGCAGTCATTCCCATATACTTTTAGTGAGACTATAACTAGTGAAACCTTTTTGGAGGGCAATCTGGCAGCATTTATCAAAATGTAAAGCATCTGTAGCCTCCAATCCGGTAATTACTGGTAATTTACTCTGGGACTATACTTGCATAAGTCCATCACAATACTTCTTCAAGGATACTGTTTTGCAGCACTGCTTTTAATAACAACAACAAAAACAAAAACAAATCCAAATGTGCATCGTTAAGGGCCCTAATAAATAAATTATAGTACAACCACATAATGCAATACTACACAAGCTGAAATAGAACAGGGTTTACCTATAAGTGCTGATATGGAAAGATCCCAAGATGTGTCATTAGGTGAAAAAGCAACATGCAGAAGAGTACAGAGTGGGACATACGTGTGAAACGAGAGAGGAACTAGGAGTAGGGGAGCAGGGAGGAACACTTCAGCTTCTTTTTGTATACATTTTCTTTTTTTATATATTATCCTTTTGCGCTTTGAATTTTAACTATGAAATTTTTTTAAACCAAGTATTTAAAATACATTATGACAATTATTTGCCAAGTATTTAATGAAAAAAGAAGTTTCCCTAGCCTATCTACAAGGTTTCCTAATATTTCTGTGCAACGAGAGGGATAAGTGTGACAACTACAATTCTAACCAACAAACTAAAACCGGCAGCACACTTGCACATCACCAAAAGCTGTATTTTCAAGCTCACAAGATATGAGATGTGAGGGTGCAAAAAATTGAGATGCACCTCTTTATAAGTGTCTCTGTGGAGTTATTACATAAACAGCACTACATCCCTGGCACAGCCCAGAAGACACAACCACAGTTCTCAATCTGCGACTGATGAATGATTCAACCTCAAGGAAATAACTTAGTCGGCTTCTCTGGACCTCAGTTTCCCGATCTGAAGAAGAATGTGTGTGTGGCAGGAAGAGACTACTGGATGGTTCTAAAACTGTATATGATTCTAACTTAAAAGTATTACAACTTCTGCATAGCTGTTTGAAAAAAACCTCATTGATAATTCGGCACATAGGAATCACACTCAAGCTGCTCTTATGTTATCTATCCAGGATGTTAACAAACATACACAAACTATGACATACCCCAGAGACAGCTTAGCTGAATTTCTAGAGGCTGAAAGGAAAATCCATCAATGGTGCCTGACTAATGTCAAACCAAAAAAACAGAGTTCATGTTGTTAAAGTAATAAAATGAAAATATTTAATATTTCAGCTCTAATTTTTATTTCTTAAATGGCATATGGATATAAAATTGCCCATTAGCTCCTTTACTACAGTTTTGTCCCTCTGAGCTACCTCTGAAGATTTGCAACCACGCCATGACAGGAACGCTAACATTCTGCAATATCTTGTGATCCAACTTTCAGGCAAGTGGAGAGACAAAGCTTTTGGAGACTCAAACTTTACAACACAATGGAAGTTAGGAGCATGAGAGATAGTATACAATATCACGGCCATCAAAATTATTAGACTCTTCTTACCTAGTTCTGTAAATCCACAGCTGCCCACACACACAAAGAATTCTATTGGTCCCAGAGAGACAACATATTACCATAAATTATCTCGTATGGTATGTAGTGCCAGGAAAAGGTAGGCCCTGCCTACCTTTATTTTTCTATTTCCATATTTGTCAATAGACTATCTATGTCTATCCTCTTTTCACTGTTTCCTTTGGATCGAGCAGAGACGAAAGGAAAAGTAGGCCAAGTATATTTAACACCAAACAAGTTATTTGCTTAAGATGGCTTGGCCAGCCTTCTCTGGCTCTAAAACCTAGCCCGACAGTTCCAGCA